CAAAATTTCATAGCTTGTTTACACAAGCAATACTTGTTGCTAAAAATATCTTAGTTACTATATTTTAACTAATATTTCAAGCACTATTATGCTATCTTATCTCCTTCTGATCAGTCCTCAAAGTGAGTGCCAATATATTTTTAAACATAATTTATTTTCTAATCTAGGCCTCGTTAAATCTCCTAAAACCTGGGTCAGGCAGATCTGGAGCAAAAGTCAGCCACATCTATACTTAGAAAATTTGGAAGCAGAGCAACAGACAGTCCCTGTGCCATTTTGCAGCTTTGTGGTCAGTAGCATGATCCACTCTCTTTGCTTCTGTGCTATTTCTGTTATTCTGGGCAAGATGTTTCCTGACCACAGATGTGTGTGATATTCTTGTGGTCAGTTGATATTCAGAATCTAAAGAGGCTCCATAAAAAGCAAAGAGTGCATTTTCAAAGGACTACACTAGAAAAAAAAAGGTATGCTGGTGGAGCCATCCAGTGAGGACATGTCTTAAATCTAACTTGTGGGATTTGCTGTGGGAACTCGAATAATTTAGAAAGGTTTTTATTTAGTGTTAGAGAAGGAAAGGAGCTAAGCATTGTTATAGCTAACCACATTTCAAATTGCAACTGTGTCTATAATCCTTCTGATTCAGATTTAAAGACTTGTTTCATTTTTGCTAAACTGAGATTCGTTTTCTCATCTCCAATCTCTTCAGTTTCTTCCTTTCCATGCTAAACTCTATATTTGGTGCAGTGTCCAAGAAATCTTTAGACTCTTTTTCCTCAGTATAGATCCTGACTTAGTCTAATTAAAATTAAATACAAGGGCTAACACAGTAAATATAATATAATATAATAAATAAATTAATAAATAAATATATTCCTCTTGTGAATGTTGACTATGTCTTGACTGTCTTCTCTATCTGCATGTTATTTGTGGTTTAGCTCATATAGCCTGAGGTTGTTGGGGTAAAATCATAGCATGGCAAAAGCCAATGGCAAATCTTCCACCCTGACCAGGAAGGCTGCATCACACTGGCATATGGTATGAATATAAAAAACTTATATACTGTATTACAGGACAACAACAGCTACCTACCTACTTTCTGAGCCCTATTTGAACTTACACTGTACACTTCTCTCTTAATCAAGCATTTGACTTATGCAGGGAGGATTTGATTAATGTAAAATTAATTCAACTGAGAGTAACCTTTGAAACCATGCTTACATTATCACCTGTGATTTGTGCAGGATACCTCATGGAGCTGCAATCTATGCATCCTTACGTAACAGGCATTAAGAAGCAATTACACAACTTAATGCAAACACCACCAGCAGATGAAAATCCATGGCACAGACAGGATCTTGAGTAATCATCAGAGCAGTGCCAGAAAGCAAATTCTACCTGCAGAAAACATTTTTTTGCACTAAATCCATTTCAGTAGATGGTCTGTACTTCTATTGCTAGTAACCTTAATCCACAAAGTGGATATTCATTGTCAACTTTTTATCCTTCAAAATCTGTTAATACAAACTTTGACCAACACTGCCACAAAATCTGTGTGCAATTCAACTCATATCTTTACTGACTGCAATAATAAACTTTTGGTCTAAAACAAACAGGTCATTAGCAAACAGATACTTTTGTTCACTGAGGTTACTTGGGCCTCTCTCTTCCTGTCATCCCATTCTGCATGCACTGTTCAGACATTTAGAGTTCGGTGTCTGAGTATCTATTTATGATGCCAGAGCACTGCAGGTTTCTCAAATTTAGTACGGGTGAACATACTCAGTTTCTCAGTGCACAAAGTTTATCAGTGCTCTTTAATTAAAACTGTTAATTCAGGCAATAATTTTATCTCATAGTGTGTCTAAATTCAGGCAGTCACGTCTATAGATACATCTATTCTGAATTCAAGAAATTATATCCAATTATCTTTGTACTACCTTCAGAATATCTTCTGAAGTTGATATAGTTTTTTGATAAATGAGTTTCATTCTTTATAAAAGGAGCATTCCAAGACCCCCTTTTACATACTTCAGCATTGCAGAAGTGCTGTATAAAGTACTGTATGGGACAGATTCTGGTCCCTTTTGCATCAATAGAAATTGAGATTATTCCAAATTTTCACTGTCATAACAAAACAATTTTTTCCTCAATCAAGATGCGCATGGATGGCCACAAATAATTGTGTGGTCAGAAATACTTTTTGAAAGATGCATAGTTTATCACAGTTTAACTGCATGACACCTTTAGAAAACACTCAAGGATTTTAAACACCATCAGGCCTGGACGAAGACACAGGTCTTCTTTTTTTCAGTCTATGGCACTGCTTGCTTCCTTGACTGAGGTGTTCACAATGGATTAAGAGGTAATATGTTTGAATCAAATATATTCAAACAGCGAGAAATAGTAAGACTGGATGACTAAGGTAGACAGTGTTGGGCTGCGTTCAGGGGGACAGGAATGCTGAAAGAAAAGAAAGTTTGTTTTTCACCTTTTCCCCAGCCTGATTAGAATCAACTAATCCTGCTTATTTCCAACCCACTAGTCTAAGGAGGCATATTTACCTTGCCTACCCACTCAGCCTATCCAGCAAAGACTAAAGACCAGGTTTAAGAATCATCTGAAGACCTGACCCTTCCTGAGTCCCCTCTTCCATTTTTTTTCCCTCCTCTCTCAAAAGAAAGAAAACACACCTTTCCTTTAGGACTTTTTGGTTAAAATGTGCCAGTGACAAAATGTATCCCTCACCAGGGAGGTGTGCAGTGAGCCAGATGGGGGAAATCATCCAGCTGAAAAATAAGTCATCACTGAAACCATCCCGCTGGCCCAAATGTAGAGGCAGCAGAAGGACTGAAGGAATAACTGAGGAAGGGGCAGGAGGAATAACTGAAGGAGGGGCAGGAGGAATAACTGAGGGAGGGGTAGGAGCTGTGCAAAGAAGCAGAGCCCATTAGGAGAAATGTATGAGGAGCTGTGCTCAGTCATATCCTATTGCTTGTGAGGAATAATGTTGTTTACTGTTATTGAGGGAGAACATAAACATGGGGGAGGGAGAGCCCCAGAATGAAAAGAGACTTCATAGAGAATGAGGTCAAATTGCAGCTTTAAAAATACATCCTTTACAAGACTTTCCGGGTTAAGGCCTAATTTTGTTTTCCAGTGGTAAAAAAAGGAAAATAAGTTAAATACTGATAACATACCTTTTCTCTCACTTAAATTCCCAATTGAGAAAAATAATAATCTGGTTTGTCTGTATGGCAGCAGTTCAATTTACCAGAACATATTTCCCTAATTAAAACTACATTGCATTTACCAAAGCCCTTTAGACCACAGTAGTGTCAATGGGATTAATCACCAAATCATTCTTTTCTTGAACAAGGTGCTTTCCTCAATGTGACATTTTGCTACAAGTTACATCCAATACAGCTGTGCTTGAAAACACTATAATTGTGTTGGCCAGGAACATCATTCTTTCCTTAATGAAATAGGTTTCCAAAGTGGTTTCTACCACCTACAGTTTGGAAACAAGTATACTGTCATATAGGCTAGTTTCATTCCTTGCCTGCTCTTGGCAAACTGCCATTTTATCTCTATATGCACAGTTAACACCTCTGCATACAAACTAAGGATCTATGAGTACAGAAAAATCTGGAAAATGTGATGAAGCATTTATTTACTATCTTCTGACCTTCGTCTCTTAATTTTTTTAAATGTGTATCCGTACCAGTTATTCCAGAACTGTCCGTCATCTACAGCATCCTAATTGTGTTGCTTTAACTAACAGGTACATACAAAGCAGCATTCCACAGACTTATTTTTAATCATGGATTTCTCATCCTCAATTAAAAAATAACAATGACGGAACACATGAAAAGATAACCGTAAAACAGGCAGCAATTCTGAAAGAATTCAAGCTGTTCTGCTCCACATATTGCTCCCTTCTAAGACACCTGAGAACCATTTATTTTCCACCCTGCAAGTATCCTTAGCACTGTACAGACACCTCTAATTCTATTTTCTTTTTCTTTTATGCTAAAAACATGACTAAACAAGCACAGTCTTCCCATGGCCAGGCACTCCTAACACACAGGTGGTCATGAACAAGGACATAAATAAAATCTACCTGGATGAGACATGAATCATGTGTAGAGGGCAGGTACCCAGGAGAGGTGCCAGAGGTGATGTCTGTCCCCTGCTATTTTATCTGTCCTGCTGAGGCATTTACATGGCTCCCATTACTATGATGGCAGAATATATAAGGACATACAGCTGTTATTACAACACTCAAATAGGGTAGACAGATTACATGGGTTACCCCAGGTCAGAAGTTTGAAGCAGAACAGATCATTGCACAGGTTTCACATGCTCTCAATGGGTAGAAGGTGTTTATCAACCATTTCTATATAAATCAACACCTAACCTCATTCCCAAAGTATCCAAGTGTCTCTCAAGCATTCATGCTAAAACAGTCAAGAAGTTCTATCTTGGAAGTTTTACTGGACATGAACCAATGGCTGAAATCACTTGTAGCAGCTTCTTTCAGTGCACTGTAAATGCTCTTTAACTATGGTTGTCAGGATAAATATATTTCATAACAAGACTTCTAGATGTCTCTTTCAGTCAATCATTTTAATCACAGAGTGCTGAGTAAGACTATATTTCCCCCACTGTCCACGTGGTCATAAAATTAATTTCTATTAGATGAAGATTGTCATTATTTGCTGAAGCCAAGAGTGAGATTTCTGCATGGGACACAGGCATGTTAACATCTACCATGAGTGCTGTAAGTTGAGGCTGGATGGCATCTGGTAGCTTCTCCTTTAGGTACCCATTGCTGGCTGCCTGCGTAAGACATTGTATGCCCCTTAGGGTGCTTTGCAACAAGTGGAGGAATAACACACTTTATGCAACCCTTTACGATTCCCATATGATACCATATGGTCAGAAATTATTAACATTTTTATCATTATCTTTATCTGTAAAATGGCAAAATACTTACCAACCTGGTAGGATATTGGGAAGGATGATGAACAGTTATTTGGAGATGTTCTTAAGACTGAAGAATGCTAGGTCCTGCAAGAGAGAAATATATGATCCACTGACACTTAACACACACCCATGTCATCACCTCTGCAGCCTTTACAGCAACCAGCAAGGCTGGATTGCTCAAAATTAATAATGAGTTTGGACAACACCTGGCACTGAGAAGTAACGTGTTTCATATGTTGACATTTTTCCATTAAAACACGTAGTGTTACAATTTCATCTAAATATTTTTCATCCAGTAGCATCTTTCTAACACAATGGATTGCTGTATCTCCCATCATTTGGGACCTAGACTAGATGACCTTTAAAGATCCCTTCCAACACAAACTGTTTTATGATTCAAGGATTTTACTGATGCTAATACATGCTCAATCAGCTTAGGCACCAGTTATTTTCTTCACATTTCATGATAATTTTTTTTTCATAATTTTATTTTCTAAGTCAACTTCTATTTTCTATTCTTGATTTTAAAATTGCAAGGATATGTTGTGGCTACCTAGACAAAATCCTCGTGTCAGAAAACATGCAACCAATGAAGGCACCAAGGGAAAAGCATAAAAGAAAAAGTGTCATTAAGTTCCAGATGCCAAAGCCACTCTCTGCAGCAGCACCACTGCAGCAATGCAATGAAGGATATTTTCAGCAACTATTTAAAAAGTCCTAACTTTTACTGATGACAATTTGAGATCAGTTGGACTGGAATTGATGGCAATAATGCTAAAGAGTTTCACACAATGCACCCATTCAGATGACTTTGGAAAGCTATGGTCTCCACCTTTCATATTGTCATGCTGGAATATCTTGGCTATTTCAGCTGTAACCAATGTGAGCTTCAAGATTAAATATATAAACCTTAATATGGTGCAGTCACATGTAAGATCCAACCAAATCTAAAATGTTCTTAACATTTTAGATGTTCAGAGATTTTAATAACGTCTTGCACCAGAGTCAGTAGGATATTTTGAATAAAAGAATGGATGACAAGTATTATATAAAATTATTCTTTATAGGAATTTTTTTTTGTTGTTCATCTCATATTTCATCTACAAATATGGTTGTCCCAATCACTTGCTATAAAAATGAAGATGTTAGGTCAGAAATGCTGTAACAGTGCCTTCTGGAGAGAGAGGATGCGCTCACAGTTCAGTAGTAATGATTTAAAATCAACAATATCATTGGGTTTCAGGAGAGATGTAGTTTGAATGCTTCCTGCCTTCATTCACCTCTCCATGCCAGGATTCTTGACAAGGTTATATGTTCTGCAACATCTGCCACGGTATAATGCATCTTGAGAGATCTTTTCTGAGATAGAAGTTCATGCACTGAAATGCATCTCCCCAGGTCTCTGCAGTGATATTTCTGAACAGAGCAGCATTTCAGTTTTCCCTCTTTCAAATCTGTGGACAAATCTGTGAACACAGGCTAACTTTTCTCTGTTCTCTTTACATAGACAGCACTGCACATACACATGACAGTATTTCCAGTAAGTTCAGACATGCAGGGCAGTTTGAGGCAGAAAAGCACTAATAGATAATATAGATATAAATCTAAGTCCTGACCCTCAAACACGTGTCGAGCTGAACAGTTCCCTCTCAGGAGGGGAATCTCAGTGATGCTGAAGAGGCCTGTGACACGTGTATTACTCGCAGGAGCCAAGTGCAAGACTGGAAACTCACTTCCAACTCATTATGCATGTATGGTTTCAGTTGTCTTAATGGCAGGCTTACACAGATAACATGCAATTTAAGTATCCAGTAGTGGGAGTAACAAAAACCTGTAACAGCAGTGTACTCCAGCAGACACCTCTCCACAGCAACTGGGATGAGCTGGGAGCTGCTGCTGTGCCATACTTCAACCCAGCACTTTTCATGGAGAGGAAGTAGGGCAGAAGGGAGGCTAAGAGGAGTTCTCACATTTTTACATCAGCATGTCTAAATGTACGAAACACGCTTTCAAAATTTCCATTTCAACCCCTGGCTATTGATTTTGGAAAGAGTAAAAGATTCAAGATGTAATGAACATAAAAGGCAATAAGAAAGAAATATGATCATGAACAAGAGGAAGGAAAAAGTAGGTTATTTGTTGGAGATGGAAATCTAATGATGAACAGTGCTGAGAATGACGTTGTGTCTTTTCATTTTCCACAACATTTGCCACAGATAAGTAACAATTCAGTGGTTGTTTTTGCTAATTCCTTAAATATCCTAGAGCAGTTTTTACATATTCTGGTAATTTCTATATCATAGAATCATAGAATGGTTCTGGGTTGGAAAGGACCTTAAAGATCATCTAGTTCCAACCCCTGTGATGTGGGCAGGGACACCTTTCACTAGACCAGGTTGCTCAGAGCTACATCCAACCTTTAAAATATTCTTTAACCTGTTCTTTGTCTTTTCTGACTTAAGGTCCTACCACACTGTTGGGATTAATTTTGCTAAACTTCTGGACACAGCAAACTTTCAGAGTGAAAGACCTGAATAATTTTGCTTTCTTACCATCTGCTATTTGATTTCATTTCATGTTAAGCAGTAAACTTCTGACTGGAATTTGTCTTTCCTTAACAATATGGTATATTTTAGTTTTGATTTTTTTATACCCTTCCAAATATGTATATATTTAGCCTTCCTAATTTATTTTCTATATTCTTGATCTCTATTTTCTGCCTCAGGTATGTCTCCTTGCTTCTATTTCTTGCACACATTTCTTTTTGATTTTCAAGTAATAAAAGTGATCCTGATGCAGTTTCATCAACTGGGGGGTGGGGAAGGTGTGTGGAAACATAGGCACAGCTCACTCCAAATCATAAGATTCAGTTTTTAATCTTCTTAAATATATCCCTATAAGAATAGGATTATTATATACTAATACCTGGGAAAATCCAGTTGCTGATAGATCTAGTGGATATTCTGATGAGTGAAAACAGATTTGGTGCTAATCAGGTGGGAAAGTCTGAAATAGCAACACAGAAAACCATTGTGGGTTCTTAATCTAGAGGTGTTAACCATCTGGGACAACATTGCATGTGTTGTGACCACAATAATGCAACCCCAGGTCTAGCCCAAGAGGAGCTGTGATTCTGTCTCCCTGGGCATCTGTGAGACCTGCAAGGTCTACAAGGTAGCAAGTTGTGCTCTGGTACAGTCAACAGGGATGATAAATTGGAGTTTTTTTGAAAAGAAGCATTAATAACACAAAACTGGAGTGGACTTACAGGTCCAAACCAGTTATATAAATGATTTGCCGTACCTTGATGTTCTGTCTGTTTACTCTGTGCCTCCTACAACCTAGAAAAATTGTCCCAAGTCCTGCCAAGTCCTGCTAATACTGAGAGATTACTGAGACAGCAAGGAAAAGATGAACTAGACTGAAGGGCCAACACACTGGGTGAGCTTCATCCAGCTAAGCTTAAATATCTATATCTGTCTTTCCCTCTGAAGAGAAATGTTAATTTCTAGGGCACAGTCCTTCTGCTTCCAAAGTAGATGCCTCAAGCATCCAGATGCATGGCTCATAACAGGCTCTGAAGGACTAAGTTTCTCAGTACTGAGTATAAAATTTGTTTAAGGTGACTAGTCCAAATACAGAGAAACCACTGTCTTGTAGTAATGGCAAACCCCATCCCAGATGACAAGCCCTGACAGTCCAGTATTAAAGCAAATAAATTAAGAGTTTATCTGGATGCACAGGACTGATACGAACCCCTGAGATATTTGTATTTACCCAGTCTTACAGCTCAAGGAAGCCAAAGCCTGGACTTCAAAATATGAAGCTAGAAACAACTCGAGATTGATCATCAAAGGCTTTAACCAGCTCAGATTTACTCCAGCAGAACTTCGCAGCTGGGCTCCCATCCTCCCTGCAGGGTTTCCTCTGTCCTTGGAGTAGACATTATCCTGCTACTGAGGATCTCCAGGGATCTCACTGTGATAGAGCTAATTATAGGTAATCTGCGATTAAATATGCTCACCAGCACAATTTGTGGGTTGCCTGGTATGCTCTGCTATGCCAAGCAAAAGGATCTGACATGGGGCAGGAATAAATATCAGCTTGGACTGCAGGAGATTAGGGATCTGAAGCACCTGTTGTGTGACAAAGGCATCCAAGCTCGGATACCAGTTCAAACAAATTCCCTTAAACAAGGAAGTAATGTAATGTTAGGAAGTACAATTCTTCCTTAACCAAAACCAAGGAATCACTTTTGAATATTTACTTTTTACTAGAGATCAGAGGTGGAGTGAGCAGAATGGCTAATCCATCCCCTGTGCTACAAATATTGTAAGAAGAGATAATTCTCCCTGTAAGGAGACTGGAAGCTAAAAATACAAGGCAGAAGCTGAAGGGCAGCCAAAGGCACAGGGTGATATTCCATGTCTGATCACACAGCTGGCCTGTGCCCAAGGCTTGTCCTCTGTCACCACAGCCCTGCTTAAATAGAGAGAGTGACAGTGGAAATGAGAAAAGTCTCTACAGACTGTAGAAAAAGTTGCATGGATTGATGTCTTTCACTGTCCTTAAGTCAACACGAATCTGAAGATCTCAGTTGGTCCAAGACCACAGCTGGCAGAATCTGCTGCTAAATGATTGACCCTACCAGCACTGACCAAGGACTTATGAATCCAATAATGGGATTTGATTACAAGTTCCCTCAAATTGGATCAGAAAGTTGTCTTACAGAAACCATTGCACAAGTAACGAGCGAGCCTTAGGAGAGATCCAAGGCACTGCATCAGTCCTTACTGAACTAGACACACAGATCTGGAAAGGGGCTTTCTACTACCCCAAAGTTCCCCAAGTGCTTCTGATCTGAACACAAAGAGATGCAAGAGAAAGGAAGGTGTTCTACATAATGCCACAGTCATTCTGTCTTCTACACCTAACAAACTTAACCGACACAACAAACAAACAAACAAACAAACATACCTTAGCTGCTGAATCCTGGTGGGAAAGTTAAAGGGAAATTACATCCTCCCAAAAGTTTATGCAATTGTCAAAGACACCCAGAGCTCAAAAATACACAAGACACACTCAGGAAGCACTGTTTCAGAAGAAAGTCCAAAATGTTCTGTTCAAGTAATTTCTTCAAAGTTAGGATCAGAATTGAAACAGCCAAATGAAAAAAAAAATCATGAAAGTACTAATAACAGAGTATGAAAAATCCAAACAACCTGCAGAATACTTCTGATTCCTTGTTCCAGGGCTAGCACCTAGCATGTACGTACTTGAACATAACAGGATTTATTCCTATCCATGGACTACCCAATGTATTTATGTTCGCAATTGATGTATTGCACAATGCGATGAATAACAAAGTAATAACAGAGAATAAATCAGTTTCCTTGGCACCACGTTCTGGATAGTATCAATCTGCACATAGCACATTGGCAATTCCCTTTCATATGCCAGTTTAAAGGGAACAATATAGAAGTTCATGAAATCCTGCCCATATAATCAGCTATATCCTGATCAGATAAGCAGTTTATATATGTATGGCTGTGAGGTATATTGTCCACTAACCAAAGTCCTGGGCCAGAGATTGTTAAGCAAAAGCCGTCACCAGAAAATGATGAACATGGCATAAGTAAAGCAGTATCTTTAGGCCATTAGATCTATGACAAAACAACTATAGCCATGTAAAAGCAGAGTATAACCTTTAAAAAAATTAACAGGCACCTGTTTTACAGGTGGGAGAGAATTAATTTTTTTCTGATAAGAAGGTGGCAGGCAATTTGTTTTGGAAACATTGAATGCCTTCAGTGTTGAGATCATAAGACTTAAGCGACCACTGTGGGTTGTTTCAACAAGAGCACAAGTCATGCCACCACATCACGGAAGAATTCCTGTTCTCTATGACATTCAATCAAGAAATGTCTCAGTTCTGAGGCTTGCTTTTTGTTATTCTTTGTGAGAACAACACAGGGAATAGAAATGTAGCACAGGGGAGGCAGGTGGTGGACACAACACTCCTTCCAACATTGCCTAGTTAATCACAGCTGTGGAATGAAACTCAATTGTAGTGTAAGCCAAATTGATTCTGGTTTTTGTAATTACTTGTTGCTATATTAATGTTACTTTTATAGTGATTAGAAAAGGTGTGACTCAAAATGAGCCGCCACAGGAATGACAAGTATTTCAAACTGGAAAGAAATGCACTGGTCTTTCCTGATGCAGATCCACCAAGCGGTAAGGTGGTGAAAATGAAAAAGAGTCTTAGAGCAGAAAAAATATTTTACTTAGCCCATGCATGCTATTAAATACCTATTAGACATGAGTATCAGAGAGTCCTGTGGGGAAAAAAACAGATGAAGTCGGGTCCACTGTGGAAGCAGTTCAGGAAGACCAGACCCTTCTAGAGCTGAGAACCTGAGCAAGCAAATCCTCACTGTTGCTGCACAGTTGATACCCATATCTGCAGGTGTGTGCTTAGCTCGTGGGTGCATTACGCCCACAACTGAACACACACATCAGCCTCTGTCTTGGTTCAGGATAACGCATCTACACAGCATCGTGAACACACCAAAGAAGCACCAATACACCCCTTCCTGCTCTGTCCTAAGAGCACATCATCCCACTGCTTTGTGCTCATTTGGCCTCTCATCTTATTTCTTTTTTTCTCCTTCACTTACCTGCTTGCACTTCTTTAGCCTTTCGACGCTTTTCCAAATCAAATGAATGCTGTGCAAAAGCTGTGTTAGCGCAATGTTTACCCAGCAAGGTCAGGAAGATGGCAAAAGCTATCTGGCATACAAAGATGGGGGAGAAGTGCAAACAAGAGCAGTTATGCCAGACACTTACAGAAGCATACCCAAAGGCAGGGGCAGAGAGACCATAACAGCTAAAATCACTCAAATTGTGAGCACTGCAGTAAGGCTCAAGGAATACTCAGGTAAATCATCCCAAATCTCAGACAACAAAAAATACAGTTCAACTTTCCCTCACATTATGTAAGAAAAAAGTTTGCACATGAGAAGCAGCTATTTCCTAGTAGACTTTTGACCAGAAAACACTCTATCTCCTAAAGGTATCTCTCACTTGAGGGCAGAAACAAAAGCAGGATGCAGAGACCCAGTATTCTTCCGCTCCCTATCAGCTGCTATTAGCTATTTAGAAACTCATTAACTTCCTAAAGAGACCTTGGCCCTAATTAGTGCCTGGACGGATCAGCCTGCCCCTCTCTCCTTCACCTCTGCCTCTCAGAGCCTTCTACAATGATTAAAGGAAACCATACTCTTTTTCTACAATTTTTAAAATGGTGTTTCTTGAGTTATCAGGATCTGCACGCAACTGTTGAATTCAGTTCTGCCTTGGAGCTTACCAGACCACTCCGGAATTCTCCAGCTTACTTTGGCACCCTAGTTCTTTATGTGTACATCTATCACTCTTAAATCTTTCCCTAAACCAGGCTCTGTAATTTCCTTTCCTTGGTCTTTCATGCAACAAAATCTGTTTTAACAGTGATTGAAGTGTCACCAAGACCATTCAGCCAACTGTAATGTTGATGCTAATCCTGCAGTCTTTTAACACTATCAATAAGAGCGAAATTACCAAAAAAAAAAATTGACTAATCCAATTTTTCAAAATTATAATATATTTTTATGTAGATATGTACCCAGACCCAGCAACAAAAAGAACTTACCAATAATAATCAAAAAAAAAGAGGAGTCCTCACTTTAATTTCTGTCTAAATGGATACAGTTAACACTATTAAGTTCAATAAGTATGACTACTAAAAGATAAACAAACTGCAGAAAGCAAAATGAGAAAAGCTATGATTTCAAAGCGCAAGCACGGTCTTACTCAGGAATTTACACAGTTTAATGCATGTAGCCAGTATATACAAATTATTTGTTATTTCCTGAATTTCTTCCGGTTTCTCAGAAATATGTTTCACATTCAGCATGTCTACACAAGCAAATAAAGGCAGCCATGCCCTGAAATTAGTCTTTTTGGAT